TCAATCAAATCAAAATGCTGTTCATCACTGCATGTTTCTGTGAAGGCATCTTTTTAAAACATTTTAGATACTTCTATCAAATTTTTCTTCGAAGGACGTTGCCAACAAACATTGATATATTTCCAGAAGACAATAAATAGTTTTAATTCCAACAGAATTTCGGTTTTGGTTAACGATGTCCTTTTTATAGATTTTAGAGATTGATACTCAAAATTTGCCCAAATCTGTCACAATTGCGGTTTTTTTTTGCTATTTTTATGCGTTTATTATTTGTGGTCTGTTTATAAATAACACATAAAAAATACTATGAATTTAAGTAAAGATTTCAAAAACTTTTTTCAAAATGATCTAGCAGGTGTGAAATATTCAGGAGCAATTAGCTCTTTCACGTTAAAATGAATTATTTAGATACTGCCGTTTACTTAATTACTGACTAGCGGGTGATTGTGTTCTTGGTTGCGCTTGGTATAGTATCTGAACGAAACAAAATATTAATAAGAAATAACATCAATTCAAAGAAAAAATAGCTTTGTGTTTTATTTGAGTTGAAAAATGTTTGTCCCGAGAGAAAACAAACATGCCTGATACAAAAGATCAATGGTCGGTGCCTTAAAAATTGATACGGATACTTCAATTTTTGGTAAAAGAAACAAAAGAAGACACACTAATTAAGTACTTTATTTTCTATTCAAGGTGCCACTGTACTGTTCTGTATAATCAGTTCCGTACTAAAAGGTTTGAGTGTTTTCTTCAATGGTTTTGTAGATCAATTTGAATCCTCGTCTACTGTGAAGTCAGTTATTCCCGGTGTATTTCATGTTACTTATAATTTTTCTGTAAGTATAAGTTATTTCAAACCTTTTTAGCTGTAAACATCTGATTTTTTAGCTTTTTATATACTGTTTTAATGTAATTAAAGAAGAATTCTGTGGATTCTTTATAATTCATGGGGTACTGATTTTCGTGGATTTCTTTGGTACAGGAGAACCTGGAATTATAATGATCAACTTAATACAAATTTACTACACGCTTGTATACAGATTTTTTTTAAACCATGTATTCAAGTATCGACGAAAATACATTTTTTCTTATAAACACGATATAGAAACTAAAGACTGAGCAACATAAAACTATCAGAAATTGATGGGAGGAGGTTTGGATTTCAGGTGCTCAGGAAGTGTGTGCAGATCCTGCTACACTTGTGGCATCCGTCGAAATTGTAGAAATGGAATTGATAGTAAAAAATTTATGTTTTAATTTTTTTAAGATCAAATCTTTTGACAAAACACATTTGATTCTATGGACTGCAAACATGTATTTTGCATTCTGAATCACTTTTGGTTATTTTAAACAAAATAAAAGATACACATGTTATAAGTCAACAATCATGAGCATGCAAAAGGTAAAATAACAAAAATACCGAACTCCGAGGGAAATTCTAAAACGGAAAGTCACAAATCAAATGGCAAAATCAAAAGTTCAAACACATCAAACGAATGGATAACAATTGTCATATTCCTGACTTTGTACAGGCATTTTCTTATGTAGAAAATGATAGATTGATTTTATAGCTAGCTAAACCTCTCACTTGTATGACAGTCGCATAAAATTCAATTATATTAACAACAATGTGTGAACAAAACAAACAGACATAATAGGAAAAAATGTCAAAAATAGGGGTACAGCAGTAAACATGGTGTTATGATCTTAATCACTATAAAAACAAACAAATATGTCAACAAAGAAAAACAAAAAGGCATATAGACAAAGCAAATCAGCAAAAACGAGTGACAAGAATACAAAAAATTACCGTAGCACAATAACGCAATGACGGGATGTATATGTACCGAGCCACGTCAAATTGATACTACCAAACATAGATTAAAGAGTAAAAGTAATAATTTATAAAGACAAATAAAAGAACACTATAACACGTAATTAAGATGATAAAAAACGTATTATTTGTGAAGTTGATACGGAATATTTATCAATAAGGTCTTGGTACCTTCCGATTAACTTTCTAAAAAAAAGCTCTTGAATACCGACTGAGTTGGGAAATGTATATCCCATATACAGGAGAAGTTGGTATATTACTACTAAGGTATTGGAAATTGACAATTTCAAAATTAAATTCGTCTCGTTTGTCGTAGATTCTGGTACTGAGATTACCGCTTATGTCAAATTCGAGGTATAAGTCTTAAAATGAGGCAGAGGAAGCCGTGTCTGTTGTGTATTTAATTTATTAAGTTCTGGAGGATATATTAATGGAACCCAATCAGAAAAAATTGGATTGTTAATAGAAAGAACATCATCAATATATCTGAATGATCAGGCTTCTTTGGTCCCCTTGTTTTTAACAAGTGTCTGAAAGAACTCCGACTCATATGAAAATAAGAAGAGGTCGGCAAGGAGAGGTGCACAGTTCGTTCCCATAGGAATGCCGACAATTTGTTGAAAAGTCTTACCTCCAAATTCAACAAATATGTTGTCAATAAGAAACTCCATCATACTGATCACTTGTTCCTCTGTGTAGCATGTTTTACCTTTTAGTTCACTATTAACAAAATATGCCGTATGGTATCACAAAGGAATAGATTTATAGCGTATGCTACCATTTTTATATTGAAAAGCCTTGTGGACTTTTTCTTTTAGACGATTTTTCAATTTCACATGGGGAATGGTGGTGTACAGGGTTGAAAAATCAAACTAATTTCAGAGAAAGATCGAGATTTAAAATTATCCAGAAGTTCTTAAGAGTTTAATTGAATCCACATATGGTTAATACCAGTACGCGAGAAAACAGTTTCACAACATTAGAATTAAAGTAAGAATTTGAAATTGACCGAAGCAATGATAAAAAAAAATAGATAAATAAACAAAAAAATTTTATGCACATGACATGACATTATATCTTACATTCTCTCACATACTACACATGTCTTTCGATTAATTCGTAATAGTGTTGCTGTTTCATTAAAATAATCAATTCATTCACATGCAAACAAGACAACATTTTGGACAATCAAATACGCACAAAATATAAAAGTATTAATAGTTTTTAAGCACGTAAACGCTTTTAAGTACACAGTCGTTCTAATGAATAACATAATGTTTGTAGCTTTGCAATTTTTAACAATTGGGTTACGATTTTTCTCAACACGCCAGCTTGCGATAACAGCAGGTCTATTATCAGGGATGTCTTTTATCATCGCAAGTCTAGCCAACTCAGTTGAGGTACTGATCTTAACATATGGGTATTATTAGGTAAGGTACCGTAAGATATAATATGCATGACAATACTATTTAAAACACATACAATTGCAAATAATAAACAAATGATTAATATTCTTTTTTTTATTGAATAACAAAATTGCACACGGTGTTATCAATTACTCCACTGGCAAAGCTATCTCAGTGAAGGTCCCCTTTTCATTCGTACCAGAAGTTCAGGGGTTCTTCACTTGGATAAACTACATATTGTTAGTTGTTTACAAAAATATTAATATAACATCAATGGATAAATAATGCCACTATTTTAATGTATCTATATCATCTGTCTTTGCTATTGTAATTATTATGGAGTAACTAACTTTACCGTCGTAAAACTTACTTTGTCACAATATGTCCTGATTTATTCAATTTGGAACTAGCATTTACGTACAATACAAATTCAAAGCAACAGCGTATACTGTATAAGTTATAGAAATTTACAATAAAGAAAATATTTTCAGTATGTTCAAAGGGGTAACAGTAGTTTTACCCTCTGAGAAGTTATTGATTGGTGTTAAATATTTTAAAACAATTCGACGACTGGGGCAGTTTTATCAAATTTCTCTTTAGTTGCCTTAGAATGTTTTCTTTCAAACAAATCATCACTTTATGAAAGAAACTCATCAAAGCTACCAGGTTTATGACTTTTTAACGCCAAACACGTGGTTAGTCTACATGAAACTCGTCAGTTTAGCTCGAATATAAAAACGTTATAGCGTTGATACGCGTATCATGTGTAGTAAGGACATATTTGAAACTTGAAGTACTAGAATAAACGATCATACGAAATTCATTGGACTCATCCACTTTGCATACAATATGTTAGGATAAATTTTTTCTTATAAATTTTTCAGTACTGAAAATCAGTATGCAAGTTAATATCAGTGTTGTTTTTCAGGAATTGCATTTGCTCTATTACATGGACCAGTTTCATACTTGATTGGAGTTTATTTTGTTAAAAGGAGAAATTTAGCTCAAGCAATATCTGGAGCAGGATTTGGATTAGGAGGGCTAATGTTTCCGCCAATTTATACATATCTAATAGAAAAGTATGGACTGAGGGGTGGTTTATTAATAACAGGGGGAATTCAGTTGAATATTATTGCATTTTCTTTACTACTAAGACCACTATCTAATAATTGCTTAAAAGAAATGTACGTCCATCAGTGCATTATTGTCTTTATATCTGAATCGATACCAATAACATTATTGAATTCATATGATATATGATATATGAAATGAAATCACTGATATGAACACTCTTAATGACTAACAAATGTAACCTCTGTAATAGTTTCAAACTTGTTTATTCATAACGACAAAGCCGAAGAAGTCATGAAATATTTCTAATCTACAATATAAAAGGACAAGAAACCGAACTTAATTTGAAGAGCAATCGGTGCTATTTTATCGGTGGTGCTCGACAGCAATAACTGAATATACGCTTTTGTTAAATTGAGGAAGCAATCATTCAATCTGGCGTACAAAATTTCAATCCTTATCTATGATGAATTTATTACCAATAACGGTACTCAAAACCACGTCTATTCCATTTAAGTAATACCTGTACTTTTCTGTTTGGCTCATATTGGTGGAGTTTTATTGGTTATGTTTAATTCAGAATAAAGTTGAAAATGTCTATATTTGGGATATGGAACTAGTTACTAAAGGCCACGTCACATATTTCCTGTTTGTTTGAATTAAAAACAGGACATAAAAAAGTTTTATACAACAAGTGTGTTTTTTTTTTTAGTTTAAACCGATTGTAAGACTTGTAAGTATTGCATTACTTATTAATATAGTTTTACGTTAAAATCTGTTATATATAAATCAGACACCAAAGTTGATGATAAAAGCAATTAATAGAATATAAATTATGTTTTGCAATTAAAAACTACAACAGACACTTTTATAGTAGTCGTAGTCTGGTTCTGCTACCAGGTCAATAATAGAGAGGGTCATAATTTAGTAGAATCAGTAATTGCGCTTAAAATGTTTATTTGGGTAACCAAAATCGTTATATTCCGCTCATTATCGACCGCTTCGCCTCGTGAGAACACTGACCAAATGTGAGAACAGTATTTTTTTAATTGTTTGGGTTAAAATGATTTTCTATACTTATTACAGATTTTAGTTATTCTACTTCTAATTGTTTGAGGAAACTGTCATGTCTATGGACAGTCTTTGACGGTTAATTAGCAAATTTTATCACAGATTGTGTTATCCAAAACGCGACTTGTGACTACCAAATTTTATTCAACTAGAGATTATAATGTGATATAAATGATATAAATATTCTACCTGTAATATATAAACAATTTATGCCTTTGATTTTTTGTAGGAAGAAAACACAAATATGAAACTAGTATTATGTTTGATTATTATTTTCATGATGAAAATCTGCAAGTCCATCATATTTGTTCCGTGTCATTTTGATAGCAGGTGTGTCTGTCTTAATCATACCACCAGATCGTTCATAAATGTAAGCTGTATTGGAAAAAATATAACCAAGATACCGAAATTTCCTTCAACTGTTTACTCTATTGATCTCTCAAATAATAAAATAGGAAGCATACCAAATGGAACATTTGAGAATCAAATAAATTTGAGGAAATTGGACCTTACTTCAAATTGTTTAAAGAAATTAGAAATTGGTTCATTCAGAGGTCTTGACAATTTGCATGAACTGGTTTTAGAAAAAAGCTGTATCAACTTTCAAAAAGTTCCAGATGGCGTGTTTACACCTTTAGCATCGTTACAACATCTGAACTGTAAACATACACATTTTGGCTATAAGAAGAATTTACCAGGCAGGCTTGTTTCAAACTTAATAGATTTAGAATATTTAGAAGTTGATGTTCTTGAAAATACCACTACACTATTTGGAATTTTATTTGATAAACATTTTGTCGAACTTCGCAATTTAACAAAACTAAGGACGGGATAATGTTCATCTTTCAATTTTGAGGAGAGCACATTCAACAACATGAAATATCTAACAAAAATAGATATATCTTCTTGTTACGGTTCAATGTATAAAGGAGCTCTGCATGGGAGAAGCAAATTAACGAGTTTGGCATTTGAAAAAAATATACCGCCCAGGACACGCAGCTGGCTAAATTTGATAATTGATATCAAAACGTTCTCTTCTTTAGAAAAACTTCTACTTACAGGCTCATTTGAATGCGATGATGAATATTATAAGTTGAACATAAGACTTTTCCAAAACTTATTTTCGACACAAATCCGAGAACTTCGCGTGAATCACAACTGTTTCAGAGAAATATTACCACCTGAAGATATTCTCAATGTACCACATACTCTTCAAATCCTGGACCTTTCCTACAATAACCTGACATGTTTGTGTATCGAAATGCATAATATTTTGTTTTTGAATTTACAACACAACGTCCTTGGTAATTGTTTACGGAAGCATTATTGTCCACGAACAAAAAATCTTCGAATAGAAAAACTCGATTTGTCATTTAATGTTATATATCAATTATCAGACATGATGTTTGCTGGGCACAAAAATTTAGAAATTCTAAATCTCAGTAATAATCTTCTATCAGACATTAACTTCAATCTTTCTAATACACCAAAATTGCAAATACTAGATCTTTCAAACAATAATATTACAATCATATCAAATCAGCAAGCATTGATGACACTGACAAAAATGATGGGACAATCAACATTCGTCATTGACCTATCAAATAATGCATTACGTTGCAACTGTTATACAGTAGGATTTTTAGAATGGATCGTGAATAATTTAGAACATTTCCGTAACAATGATATTTATAAATGCAATTTGGAAAACAAAACTATCATTACTATGCGTAATTTTAGGAAAATAGTTGGACAACTAGCTAAAGATTGTAATTCATATAGTACAATTGTAATAAGTGTTACATTAGGAATTGTTGTGTTTCTAATTACTCTTTGTGTGGGACTAATGTATCGCTATAGATGGAAGCTTCGCTATATGTATTATATGACCAAAAGTAGGTATTATAGATATAAACCTGATGATGATAACGAATCTTATACGTATAATGCATTCATTTCATATTCTGATGTGGAGAAAAATTTTGTGATCAAAGAATGTATTCCAATTCTTGAACAAGATGATAAAATGAAATTATGCATACATCATCGAGATTTTCTTCCTGGTGAGGAAATATCAGTTAATATAACAAACGCTATCCATGAGAGTAAAAAGACGATATGCATTATAACCAGATCATTTCTGGACTCTTATTACTGCATGTTTGAATTTAACATGGCCAGAATGGAGAGTATTTATTCAAGAAACGAACAAAATATTCTGTTTTTAGTGTTTTATGAACAAATTCAACCTCGAAATCTTCCGTTGGTTATGTTAGAACTGGTTCAAAACCAGTCGTATTTAGAGTACCCACATGACGAACATGGAAATGTTGTATTCTGGGAAAAAGTCAGGGAGGCTATTGCGTGAACATGTGCTTATTTGTTTGAATTTTGTTAATGCCTTTTACATTGACATACATAACTTTAAAAAATTGTACAAAACAAAACAAACAAAGCACAAAAAAGAATATTTCAATATATTCAAAAATATGTTTTTCATTATATATTACCATTGTGCATTGTATACTTTCATGTTTGATAAATATGTATTAGAAAATTACTCTGTTCTATTCATTTAAAAAAAAGTCACTACACATACAAAATATTGTAAAACAATGGTGACCATCGGTAGACCGTTAGGTAAAAAACCATAGGAATATTTTTTAAACAAACCTACGCATAAGGCATTTGCACTTCAAACGGCGTACTAAAACTTACTACATGTATGACAAGCACTTATAATCCCGACTGTTTTACCAAATGCAAACATACATTGAAACCCATACACAATACTCAAATTTACAGCAATGACCTGCAATCAGAGCTGCATGCACAAAAGAGAAACAGTATTTTTCAAAATTAATCCAGATTCAGGAATCATATCTTCCTTTTGTCATGTTCAAATGAAGAACATGTTATCATGCTTATATGAAAATATGTCAGTGCCTTGCAGTATACCTAGGGTTAGGGACACAACTGTTAAAAATTACTGGTACGTTTGTTTATAAATCATTTTCATAAACGTATTCGCAGTTTCTAAGTAAAACGTATTATTTTACTTCTGTTTCATATGAGAGCTTGCCAACGCACTTCTATAACTGATAAAAAAAAAAGAAGTAAACAAAAACATTGGTCTATCCCTTTAAAAATAGTTATTGATTTTTGCCATTTAGTATGATTACTTTCTTTTTTCGTGGCTTTAGGTAAAGTATTTTTCCTATAAAGAGCTGTTTCTTTAGCAAGGAAAATGTACAGAAATGTCTTTTTGCTGTGTTTTTATTGGTCCACTTCCAGGCGATGTCGATTTTTATATTCAAAAAGATCTATGCCAATTAAGATTTGAAAACAAATAGAAAGCTTTACCTGGTCAGTTATAGATTATTCAATATCACTGCCAAAACAGAAACGGCAAGACATATCAACTGATTGAAAACTGATTGGTGTCAATTATACTCATACCTGGCGCAGACACATTAGAAGTAATAATTCGAAAAGGCAAGCCCATTTTACGATTTGTATTACCTTTTGAGGTTAATGAAGCGATCGTAATAAGTGAAATAAAACGATTAAAATATTTGTGTTATAGAAGAAACGGTATATTGGTTAAAATAGGGTTTAAGAATGGAATCAAAACCCTAAAGGGTTCAGGTCAATGAGACTGCAACAACACATTAAAAGAAGCAAAATATACCAAAGGGATTTTCAAAGTCATAAGTCGAAAACAATCAGATCATGCCATAGCAAAATACGAAAATCGATGAAAATACAAACAGTACACAAATTACAACATAGAAAACTAAAGACTGAGCAAAACGAACCCAAACCGGGGGAATCTCAGGTGGTTCGGAAGGGTCGGTAGATCCTGCTCCATATGTGGTATCCGTTGTGTTGCTCATGGTAGAAACCCCGTTGGTTAGTTTAATTTAGTAGTTCACATTCAAGGAAAAGATTAAGAGATAGTGGTTCCGACAAATGAAACATATCCGTTGTCATCTGTGAAACAGGTTTTTCATAACGGTCGACCAACTATTGATGGCGTTCGTATAATTTCGAAGGGATGATTTCAACTTCACCACTTGGAACTCTTGGTTCAATACCTTTCTTGTAAGCCAACCTCTACCAAGGAATCATGAAATGAGATGCAAGCTCTGGAATATCGTATCAGCTGGAATATATGTAATATATATTCAGGCTCTGCAGAAATATTGCTACATAGAAATGGAAAGTACACAATTGGGAAGCTAAAATCATAATTGTCTTTCAAAATGGATCGACGTCAGGCAGTTTATGTTGAATTGTAACAGTAGAGTTTCTAGACATAAATAAGCGAACAAAAAGTTTAAATTCAATAAAATTCGAAGACAAATCGTAAATTTATTCAGCATATAATACCAAATGTTTCACATCAATAAATCATACAGACAAAAAAACTCTGTAAGCATGACCGGTATGTCAAGAATAATCAAATCCTAATCTAACTGCGCATGTATCTTGAACCTATACAATCAACAACTACAAACAAGTCATAATCTACTATCCAGTCTTTTGTAGACTGTACGAAATAAAGTCTTCAACATATGACATAATGACCTAATGTATAGATAAACTGAAAAGCATTCACGTACATTTCTTATGCTCTCTTTTCAATTGATGCGATAAAATGATGTTATATTAAAAAAAAGGACCATCCTCATGTAGAAAGAAGTTGATTTATTCACAACCATGAAACGTATCAATATTGATGGCATAGGGCAGTCACAAAAGTAAAATTCACAGGGTAAAGCATAATCTTCATCCATGCTCACATCAAGTTTGATACCAAATTGCAAGCATCACTTACATGAAGTTGCAGAGAAAAATGCTACAAAATTTTATTGGACGGACGAATTGACGGATAGAAATAAAGCTGTATCCCCATCCGTTAGAGTGGGAAGTAAACAGAAAATCCTGCAACAGCATTAATGTCAGACCTGTGAAGTTCATCGACTTAAATGGATGAACATTGTCATAAAAGTTAGTTCGGAGTAATGAACAAAATAATGGCAGAATTATTATAGAGTTTACTGAAATGTTTATATCACACTATAGAATTTTAAAAATATAATAAAAAAATGTCATCGAACTTGTTTTTTTTAGTATATTGAAACAAGTTTCTTGTAATTTCAATGTCATCGAAATTATTGAACCAATGCATGCATATATACTTAACTTAGTCCTCTGTGCACGTTTGTTATATTCATTACGAATCTATAACGTACTACCGACAAATAATATTTCATTCAGTGATTGTTGATCGAAAGCTCATTACCTTTCAAGTTTGTTGCCGAAGTTTACCACATCATGACACTGATAAACAATCAACACAGAGCAAGTGAAGCACGCAACCATAAGTTACACCCCAGTTCTATTGTTATACTCCGGCCGTCGAGGTTTCTTAACCAGACACATCTATCCCTTATACACTTGTAAAAATCAGCTAAACGTTTTAATTACGTTGTATTGTTAAGGAAATATTAAGCTTCTCAATGATCAAAATTAGTGTTTGTCAAACTGCTATATAACCAATGAAATTTTTTTGATAAAGTGGTTGGTTCAAATTTTTTGAAATTTTTATATTTTTGTCAAAGGGTCAAAGTAAACATTTTGTCAAATTTTTATGAAAATTAAACGAGCCAAATTAATTTTACGGTCAAGGTGTTGGGTACCACCTTAATCAATTCTTTAAGAATCAGTTATTATTCTTTACCTTTGAGTGCACGTTTGTTTACATTCTTTCATCAAGGTTATCCCCTCGCACTTTCGCTGTGCGATGGCCAAAGTGATAACGAGAGGTCGTATTTAAGGTCACTGCATACGGGGATATATCGGCGAATTAGTGAACGGGAAGACAATATTTCAATAGCAATACATTTATGAAGTTTTGGATAATATCAAGGATTATCTTTTACAAGAATATAGTAAAACGTAGCCATTCAAGTATATAAAACATATTCAATTATTTATTTTAATTTAAAGTTTCATGAAACTTTAAGCTACAAGGGTTGTAAAAGTCTATAGTTTCATAAAGGTTATACAGGAGAAACACACAAGTATATGAACCGAAAAAGAACTATATGTTAAAGTCTGAAGAGAACATTTTCGTTAAATGTTATCATACATTTTTTTAAATAAAAAAAGTAAGCGTCACGGATATAACAAAAGGTGTAAATTTGTATAACAATTTATTGTCTTATTTGTATTGGGATGGCTTGATGATATGTATGTGAAAAGAACCGTGTATAACCTCCCATTATTATTCTTATAAAAAAATATTTTGACTGCATTGACTATTATCAACATCTGTATGGACTCATCAGCAATGAAATGCTCTTCCCGAATTAAATCATTTAACATCTTTATCAGAATAAAGATCTTAAATTATCAAAGGAAAGTCTAACCGAAAGTAAAATAATACACGATAATAACAAGGAATTATTCTATATCTCAGGTGAACGTCACTGTATGATCTGCTTTATCTCAAACTATAATAATAATGGCCTTGGAATTGATAAATCGTCATATTGCAGGATTTCAGTTTTTACTTATGGAGTAAATTTTTATTTCTATCAAGGCCGGTCCGATTTGATAAAACATGTTTTTCCCCTCAAAAAAAAATCTTTCTGTTGAAAAAGAATAAATGCTGACTATGCCTACTGTGGAAATCAGAATAATGGATGCAACTTAGTTCGTTTTATTGTTACAGTAAAATGCATATGATATAAAATAAAACTTTCGTACAAAATGATAATTAAAATATGAAACTTTCACGACCTTTTTATAGGAAGTATACCGGGACTGGATTTTCCTGTTTCACATACTTGAACAAACGAATTGACAGTATATTTGTCGACAATACTTTGCATTCAATTACTTTTAATACAATCAGTGGAAATATTTATTTAATTTTAAAACACGTAAAAGCTATAGAACAATAGCAAGACTATTTTCCTGTTTCTAAAGCCCGGGAAATATTTTTTTTAACTTTATTATGCTATAAACTACATTTGATTTTATTTAGGGGGCGACACATTTAATATTCTAGAGGGGATATGATTTTATAAAATGAATTTCCTGGCTTGGTATGAGCTGAAGATAAATAATTTGCATAAAGCAGAATGAATGGTACAATATTGAAAATAAATTTGCATGCCAAATCTCACTCTATTGTTCATAGGTGTTTTAATGTTTCATTTAAATCGCTTTATGATCAAAAGTTTTTGATATTTCATTTTAAGTATCTACAAATTCAAAAACCTACCAGCCAGTAATGAAGAACACACACACAAACACACACACACAAATAAAAATACACCCAAACAAAACCAAAATGGCATACAGTTTAACACCAATTTTAATATCAAATTCATGTTTGTCAAAATTTCTATATCTAACATTAATATGGAGTTTTTTTAAAACAAAATGAGGATTTTTGCCAACCAGATGACTTCAGTTCAAATGTCTCTTCTTCTTTTTTCTAAGCTTTTCTTAAATATTTTTGTTTGTTATTTTACTT